GGACTGTTCATGACTTAATGGCTACAGTATAAATGAATGTTGACAAAGTTCGGTATGACATCCCTCTGCAAAACCAAGGTATCACAAGTAATCCTTAATACTTTGAGCAGTTTTGACAGGAAGCAGACACTTAAATACAGCTGAGACTCTGGACTAGCGATCACAAAAGGCTCCTCTGCTAGAGGGTAGAAACTTTCATATTAATAGGGAACATCAGATATCAGCTACTTCTCTGCAGAAGGAGAAGGGATTTCCCTTCATAACTCCATCATTTGTCTGCCTGGTTTCTAGCTCAGCTGCTGTGCCTCAGTCTGGAACAAAAGGTTTGCTCACAAGTGCACATTATTAGCCTGGTTTATGTTAATTCAAATTGGTATGCAAAATTGTATCCAGATCTGTCACAATGCTAATAATTTAAGAGGAAAAATTATAATGCATGACATATTTCTATTAAAAAGTAGTTAGATATTTAAAATTGCTGTCAGTTGCATCGAACTGCAGTCAAATAGCAAACACAACTCATTCAACATCACACAGTATTAGGAATGTTTAGAATTTTAAAGACATGTCGACTAGTATAATACAAAGCTTTTAAAGAAGCTTTTGACAGTAAGTTTAAAATGCATGAAAATGTTAACAAAACCATCAATAATATACAATATCATAGGACTATTTAGGTTGGTTATCTAGCCTGAAGTGTTTCGTTTCAGTGTTGTTTGATATTTGTTCAGTTTAAAAGCCTGTTTTATCATTATTTCCCTGTCACATTTTTGGAACTCTAACATCACACCCTTGTGAAATAGCTTCTTTCACAAATGCAGTAAATCATACTATTAAAACCCATGGAACCTAAGTTTCTATCTTGTGTTGCAAGGCCCTTACACAGTAATAGATAACCAGGAGATAATTTTTTAAAAGGCATAGTGTGAAGTAATTGTCATATATGTGATCTCTTTCAGGACTTCCCAACCATCTTGAAGTACTACTTATTACTCACACATCCATATTAAATTTGGGAGTGTATTAAATGAATACTTTGACATGCTCTGTTTAAAGCTTCCATAACCTGTGAAGTGGCGAGTGGACTTCCATCGCACCTGGGCATGAGACGTGGACTTCACCATTCTTGGGTGAAGCAGACAAAAGTCTAGACAAGAGGGACAGTCAGAGTATCTCAAATAAATTGAAACAATAAAAGGAAGAGATGAAAGGGAAGGGAAGGAAAATGGGAAGGAAAGGGAACAGAAGGGAAGGGAAAGGAAGAGAAAACAGTATTTCAGTTGGAAGAGAGCTACAATGATCACCTAGTCCAACTGGCTGACCAGAAGTAAAAGCATGCTATTAAGGACACTATCCAAATGCCTCTTAAACAGTGCCAGGGTTGGGGCATCGACCACCTCTCTGGGAAGCCTGTTCCAGTGTTTGACCTTCCTCTCATTAAAAACATAAGTGCTTCCTAATGTCCAGTCTGAACCTCCCCTGATGCAGCTTTGAACCATTCCCGTACATGCTGTCACTGGATGCCAGGGAGAAGAGCTCAGGAACTCCTCCTCCGCTTCCCCTCCTCAGGAAGCTGCAGAGACCAATCAGGTTACCTCTCAGCCTCCTTTCCTCCAAACTAGATAAGCCTGAAGTTCTTAGCTGTTCCTCATTCCTTACAGTTCTTTTATTGCCCTCCTCTAGATGCATACAAGGACCTCCACATCCACCTTGATTTGTGGACCCAGAACTGTACATAGTACTCAGAGTGAGGCTGTACCAAAGGTTCACCTCTTGTTGGCTACAGCATAGCTTTGGGGGAACAGTACTATAGCAGCAGTAGAGAGCTGCAGATATCTTCACCAGGTTGAGGGGGAAGCAAGTTGTTCTTTGCCTGGGTCTACCCTGGAGCAGAGATTTTAAAGACAACTGCTGGCAGGCAAGAGCTCATGGTGACCTGGTTCATACCTCTCAGCATAAGGCCACCGAATTCATTACCCAAACTGAAGATTTTATCTCTCTTCCTCAAAGATTCTTTGCTGCTCTGTCAGTGTACATGATCTGTGTGTTTCATAATGAACCGAACACAACATGTGTCTTCCTCTAGACTGCCTGAATGAAAACCAGAGGAAAGGTGCCCAGCATTAACTGTTTGCTGCAACAGTGATACCCTGAAACAACATAATGACCTGTGAGGAGTGATTTTGTTTATGTCAGTTTGGATGCTCTGTCTTGTTCTCTCAATAACCTTTTTGACTACCTTTGGGATTTGAGCAATTTAGACAATTATCTATAATGCAGGTATGCTGCCTTCCGGAAAAAGGATTTCTACAGGAGCTCTTTACATAATCAAATTCTCCAATTTTAACCCTTGTCACGATTTCCATCCATTTAAATGTATGTTCAAGCTGTAAAACTCTTTCCAAGCATTCAAATTTCTTGAGTGACAAGTTAGGCTTGTAAATCACATATTGAATATGCAGAGCCTGTGACATGACAACTGAAATGTATGTTTTAAAAAGATATGCTGGCATTTAAGCATTTTGAGTTTTGGTGTTCCCGAATACCACCAGTGTGTGTGCTTTTCACAATCCAACTGTAAAGCAATTCATCAAAGGGCGCTATTTTTCCAGAGAAGTGGAATTAAAAATAATAGGTCTGTGCAAATATGGGAAAGTCAGTAGGGCCACGAGTTATAATTGACAATAAAAACTGCCCTGATATTACCGGGAATAGAGTAGCTCAGAGAACTGGTAATGCTCAGAGCCTTGCCCCTCATCCTGGATAGACCTGTGCTTTACAGTAAATTGGCACTTTTGCAACAGTGCAAATTGATTCGTAAATAATAGTAGTCAATGAGAGTTCATGTAAATGCACGTTAACTGAGATGCAGCTTCTTGAAAATGAACTGAAATTAAAGAAAATATTCACTAACATTACCTCCACTTTAACCTATAAAACATTTTCCCAACTTCGTTATTGTGGAAATCAAGGCTTCAAGCAGCACAGAGCTTATTTCCAATGTCTTTACTCCCCTTTGTGTGGCTGTGAATAATTCTATAGATATCTGACTTTTTAAAAAGAGAAATGTGATCCAAACCCTGTAAATTCTTGGGTGCAGTCATTAGACTGCTGAACAATTGGGCTCTCAGAGGAAACTGGAGAAGAAATGGGCAGAAGTTGAACCTGCACTGAGACAGAAGATCTTCCTCTGAGTCCTGTGAGAAGCTCACTTCCTGCAAGAAGCTCACTAAAGGAACAACATACTTTTCTTTTATTTCTACTTCATATGAGAGATTTGGAAAGCTCATTATTCCTCCAGTTCCTCTGCTGTAAAGGAGCTCAAATACAGGATAATGAAATTGTTATCTTTTTTTTTATGCCTGCAGTCCTCTTGTAGCCAGCTGGTTCATCCACTGTCCTCCCTGTGGGTACCAAGGCTAGTAGTAATTAGAAGCAACCACTGCCTACCCCAGTACATCCAAACTCTCATTCCACATAGTTTCATCTACTTCCAGTCATCAACAAATGGTACTATTTTGAGGAAGTGTCTTTCTTTCTTAGCATCGATTTACATACAGGAGCATATCGTTCTACTATTTACTATATGTACTCCTGCTTATCTCAGTGTAACAGTGGTGCCGAAGCACAGCTTGTATATCATTTGCAAGCTGTGGATCCAACAGCTTGACCTGCGTTTGCTCTCATCATTTATGGGACAATGCCAATTCCGAATCACAAGTCATAAACAGGCATGTTTACATATGGTTGGTAATAGCACCATAGATAAATATAATACTTTTAAAAATCCTGTTTATTTCTCTGCACTTAAATTCTCCACTTCATTCCCTGACTCGTTTCAACCTAGACAATGAAAACGCAAATGGGCTTCCGAAGTTTTTATATTTATCTGCTTAAAAACAACATTCACAGGATTTATTTTTAGTTGGAGAGTATTCCTGGGGGTGATAAGCCCGGTAAAAGGTTGTTTCCCTAACATCTAAATGTTTGCTGGATTTTGGCAGCTGCTTAAGACAAAGTGACCCTCTGATGGTCCTTATCAACAAAATCCTTGGAGTAGCTACCAGCTGGATCACGAAATGACCATCATCTGCTGGCGCCGCTACCTGTAAACCACGCTTCAGTATGACAGGCAAAGCTGGATGCAGTTTTACTACTTTTAATGGAAGTAAGTACAGTTCTCAGGCTCCCAGCTTGTTGCTGGGGCTTCTCTCAATGACACTGAGCGACACTTACGTGCCACTGGTAAAACGCCCGTCGCCTTTCAGCGTGCCCGAGTTTCGCCCCCCCAGACCTGAGCTCCCGTTCCCCGCGGGCGCCGGGCGAGGGGAGGGTGTTCGACAGCCCAGAGGGCGAGCTGGCTCCTGCACCGAGGCGCCGGGCAGGGACACGGGGGTCCCGGCGGTGTGTCACAGCGGGGTCCCTGGGGCGCCGCACCGGCACTTACCCCTTGCGGGTCCCTCTCCGCGGCCGGCACCCACCGCGAAGAGGTGTGTGTGTGTGTGTGTGTGTGTGTGTGTGTGTTCGTGTGTCCCCACCCCTGCCCGCTGCTTCCCACCGCTGCCGTCCCGCCCCTGCCCCGGAGCGTCCCAGCGCCCCGGCCCGTAGCGGCGGGCTGCGGGGGGCGCCCGCGGGCGGCGGCGGGAGCGCGGTGCGCGGGGGTGGCCGAGGAGCGGCAGCGGCGGCGGCGTGAACGCGGCTGCAGAGCCCCAGCGAGCCGCGGGAGTAGAGCGCCGCGCCCGCCGCCGCCGGAGCCGGGCGAGGAGCGAGCCCGGCCGCCCGGAGCCGCCGGGCAGAGAGACGGTCGCGGGGAGGCAGCGAGGGGCTCCTCGCCGAAAGCGCGACCCCCCCTCTCCGCCGCCTCCGCCCGCCCCCCCAGCGAAGGGAAACAAAACAAAACCCCGGCACCGCCACGCTCTCCCTCCTGCTCCTCTTGGCATTTTGTGGTTGTTTTTTTTGTTTTATTTTTATTTTTTCCTTGGGGATTCTTCTCTCCCGTGCCAGACCGACTTGCACCTTGATAATTTCTCTTCCCCTCGTTTTTTTTATACTCTTCTCCCTTGCTTCCAAACCCTGTGTCTGTGTGTTTCAATACTATCACAACCTCTGCTAAAAATAGATCTTTTTATATACCCTTCCTCCTCTCTGACCCCATCCAACACCCCTTGTTAAGGTGAGTTGTGTCTTTTCATCACTTTTTTCCTTATGTGTTGTTGTTTTTGTTTTGTTTTGTTCTGTTTTGTCGTCCCCCCCCCCCCCTTCCCCCGTTCAGGGTAGGTTTTAGGGAGGAGGGGATGTGGAGGAGATAATTTCGCTGGGAGTCAGGCATGTTTGCAAAACCTTATTTTCCCTTATGCAGCCTCAGCATCATTCCGGTCTGCTCCCTTTCATCCCAAGGATGTAGCTAGCTGATGAAAGTGTGGAACTACTCTTCCTTAGCATTACATGCTTGGGAGCCACAGCAACAGCAGGAAAAAAAAAAAAGCTTTTTTTTCCTTTACCCCCTCTGCCCCCCCATTCCTTCCTCCTTTTTGTGTGTTTTGTTGGTTTTGTTTACTGGTTTGGGCGTTTGGGGTTAGTTTGGTTTGGGTTGGTTTTTGTTTTGTTTGGGGTTTATTTTGTTTTTTTTGGGGGGGGATGTTAGTGTGTATGTGCTTGGTTTCTGTTTTTAAGCAATACACAGGGGACTTGGGAAGAATTGCATGTGATGTCGGGGAGCGAGTGTGCGTGTGCATGTGTGTCTCGAGTGTGTGTGCATATGTATGTGTGAAGTGCATTTGTATTGTATGTTTATGGGATGGTGAGTGATAAAGCTTCCAAAACAGTCATTGTACATAGTGCAAGGAGCACAGCAGAGGGTGCTGACGGAGAAATTGGTCAGGGATGCAGGAAAGCTACAGAGCTCTCCACAGAGTTGGGTCCCTTGCGCTTCAGGACATCTTTCCATAGTTCATTACTGGCACCTTCAAGGTGATGGCTCTCATTCGTCTCCTGGCTTCTCAGCAGAGGAGTGCTGTGAGGGAAAACTTTAGGGCTAACATGAATTGATGGCATTTCTATTCCTCCAGCAGTCCGAGACAGTGTTATTCCAGGGATAAGTGGGGAAAATAGCATTGTGATCCAGACCTAATGGATCATTTGCTGTCGCATATTAGTGTTCACTGAGAAAAAGATGAAACATTAGTTTGGCCAGCCAGAAGCAGCATTGCAGACTGGTTTACTTCCCAATTCCAAAGTTGTTTTAGACAGTTTTTCTTTCTTCAGCTCTCCAGCTAACTGGTCCTGTGGATGTACAGTAAACCAATAAATCTGCTGGGGAATGCTTTATTCTTCAGAATCAATCAAGTAATATATGTTTCATAGATTTTCAACTGTGTATTTTACCTATGTGTATAGAGTGGGGTAATACAGATTTTAGTTGAATTTTAACAAGGAGTTAAGGCACAACTTGCAGGGTGCCACTTGCAAAATATCACTTAATATAAAGAAATAAAAACAGCCCGTAGCTCTTTTTCATGGATCTTTTTCATGGATCTTTCCCATTTCCCCTGCTTGTTGCAAAGCACACGGGATCTTGCTTAAGAACTTGGGAGGAAAACTGGCTTTGCAATGATACACAGTGTCAAATATTCAGAGCTCAATTATAACACTCCTCTGTGAAACTTGAATTTGTTTATGAAAGCTAGTGGTTCCAAAGTACCTGGAGGAGCACTTTCTATACATAGTTTTCTAGCAGGTTGAATCATTTTTGCATCTAAAAGTTTACAAATGCGCTAAAAAGGTTTCTGTCATCTGCGTTTGGAGGTCTTCATGCTGTATGGATACGGAAACATGCATGTTGCCTGTCTAGTTAATGCCAATTCTGAAATAACCTATCTTTCCACATGCTGCATAGATGACGTTCAGCAAAAAAGAGCTGTCATGGAAGTAGTCATGTGCTATCAAGTCATTCCATCATTTCTTGCTAGCCTAAATTAAAATATATAATTTTACACAAGTTTGCCTTGGGATTTTTCTATTTTTCTACTGTGGCTGATTGATGTAGTGAAAGCAGGAAGCATGCTTTGAGTGAGTTGTGCCATTCCTAATGCTTGATAGCAGCAGCAAGGGGAGAAACACCTGATGTGCTTTGTACATCATCCCTGAAGCTATGCAGGATTGAGAAAAAGAGATGGAGAACCAGCACAGTGTGTTAGCAGTTTAAATAAATAAATGAGGGTGATGCACGTTATCCTGTCAGCTGCTGTTCTGGTGAACCCTGACTACTGGCTAAACACATGATGTGGTCCAATTTTTCTGATTTGATAAGAGTTTGCTGTTAAATTCACATGTGGCACAGGAGAGCTCTTGTTCTGTTGATAAAAATCATGCCTCCTCATTTTAATCCAGAGAAGGCTGAAATACCCACAACTACTGAAGTCACTAGGAGCTACTCTTGCTCAGCATTCATCAAGATGTTTTAACCTCAGCATGTCAGGATTTAGGATATTTCCAAAGGACACAATTGACAACAGATCTGCAATGCCTCGTTTTGTTTAGATTTTACATTGGATGCATTTAGTATATTTAGAAGTAAATGTTTTCTTTTACCACAGCAACATTGAAATGTGTCAGGAAATGGAAAACTTCTAGCATTCTTTTTCTCCTGGGCTTTTAAAGAGAATTCTCTTGGTATCCTTTAGCTGTTTATGAAAAGCAGTGTTCACTGCTAAAAGCTATGCACTAAGTTCCTTACACTGGTTGATTAGCTATTGACATTGCTGAAGGAAAAAAACGGGTGGAATGTTTATACAGAAAAGAAAAAAAAAATAAGAACAAGTCATGTGCTTTTTTATCATAACAACTGAAAGACTAGAGCGCTTTCAGATGGATATGAAAATGCTGAACCAAGGTTAACACTGAGTTTGATCTGTTGGTCGTTCCCACATACATGAATGGCAGCACACCAACACTTAGGTTATTTTGTAATGTACTACCCTGGATTAAGCATCCCTTTGATTTATGTTTTGAGGCTTGGATAAAACCTCAAACCTTGGATTTATTCACCTCTAAAGCCTTTTTTTTTTTTTTTTTCTCTTGAAACAAGCCTGATAAAGCTGTGAACTGCTATAAACAAAGTAATGGAGAGAGAGTTCAGAAGTCACTCTCTTTGTGGAGCTTTTTTGCTATAAAAGTAAGGTGGGATCTCTCTACTGCTTGCCAGCTGAAATTATTTTCTTGTATTATTGTACTGTATTATACTGCAATATTGGTCTGTAATGCTTATTCCAAGGAGTTTTTATTCTGTGGATGTGGTGCTTCTACAGAGGCAGAACATGTATATTTTGTCTTGTCCTAAACTACAAATACCTATCAGTTTCAGTATCATTTTATTGCAGGGCAAAATTGCTGTTTCATTTGGTCATACTTATTGAGGAGGCTATGTTGATCCCAGATTTTCTTAAATTTTTAACAAAGGAAACTAAGCCTATCACAGTGCTGCCTGGGATTTTTGAGGATGGGGTGAGGCAGTATTATCTATACCCATGCAGAATTTAATCACAGTATACATTAAAAAGCAGTGGCATAACCCATCTGACAGCAAATTAATCCATTTTTTCTTTGTAAATTCCTTTTTCTGTACCAGTTTTAAATGGTGCTACGTGTGAGTTTCAGTCTGAGTGTATATTTGTAATTTTAAAATGTTTAGGTGAATGAGGTTACTTTAAGCGAGGCTGGTTTTTTATTTGCCTTTTGTTTGCTAGAAATACACTTTTTGTAATAAAATAGATTTTTTTTTTTTTCTGCTGCACTTCCTTACACACAGAAGAAAATTAGTATTTTCCTCCTGGGAGCCATGTATAACTGAAGAGCCAGGTGCTGAGCTACAAACAGTTACCTTCCCAGTCTAAGTGAATGCGAATGAGTGTCAGGGGTTACAACTGCTGGAGCATGGCAGGGAAAGGAGGAGCATGGCTCTTGGGAAAGCAGAGTGTCTAACTATTTGGTGCTGGAGTGGCTGTGTACTTCAGGGCTAAAAAAAACAAGTCACTTCCTCACCCGTAACAGTATGAAAAACCTCTGTCTTGTAGTTTGCGTTCAGTGATCTGCTTGGTTTTCCCTTTGTATTAGATATGGGAGGCTTAATTACAGTCTGGTAATGCTAACACAGCTCCCTGATGACAATTGTTTGTAGGAGGTCAAATGGAAAATAATTGTGGAGAGTCTCCAGCTACCGTGTTTCTTCTTTGTAGTATATTTCCATTTACAACAGTTTTCCCTAGGTTTGCATCCAGCTATTATACCCTACCTGCCTGTGTAGGCTGGAGGCTGCTTTGTGTGGAGAAAGTGTTTGTAGAAAGGGGGAAAAAAATATTATTGTTAGCTTTGGCTAAGACAGTGTAACATCTTCCGCTAACTCTAACCAAATGCAAGAATAGCTGTGGCACTGTAGGTAAAACAGTCAGAATTTGCTTGACAGGAATATGAGATTTCATACTTCTGGAGAGGAGACACATTTTTAGAAGTAATGCAAAGAGAATGCTCTTTTTGGAATGAGACTCAGTATTCATAAGAGCCCATGACCACTTCTGTACTCTGGGATCTGCTTGGAGCTGCCCAGTTAATTCCTGGTTGAAGTGGGGTGAGACCCCATTTGATCCACTGCTGTAATTCCATGCTTGTAACTGGGTACCTCTTCCAGTTCTGCAGTGGTATCAGTAACTAAGCTTTGTTTATAGGGCAAAATATATAACATACAACTGATTTCTGCTAACAGGCAATGCTTTTAACAGAGTGTATGAATCCAGTCATTTCGATTATGGATCTGTTTACCTTGCAACATCCATGCATTATTATCTAATATATCTAAGTGTTAGATATATTTAAATGCAGTGGACACTTAATAGGCTACAAGGAACCAAAATGCTTATCTTCTGTAATTGACAGATAAAACCCTTAATTTGTTCTTTTCATTTGGTTTTGGGGGGTGTGGGTTGCTCAGGACTACACTTTATTTGACTAAAATTTGTCTCTTAGTTTGCTTAATAATAGTTACAAAGGGATTTATTATTAATAATTTTGGATGGTCTCCTTTGGATGCATTTAAAAAAAAAAGTTTAGTTTCATAACGAGCTTTTAGGGTAGACCACTGAGGAATGATGAGAACTTAGCCCTCTTAATGACTGGTTGTTA